GTGTCTTTTAGTAGAGACGGGGTTTCACCATGTTGGCCAGGATGGTCTCGATCTCCTGACCTCATGATCTGCCCGCCTCGGCCTCCCAAAGCGCTGGGATTATAGGCGTGAGCCCCCCGCACCCAGCCGAGTTTTTTTTTTTTTTAATAGTAAATGAATTGGCCCTTTTATATTTCTTTCTCTCAAAACATGCACACGTGACACACCCATCCCTAACAATTATTTTTTAAATGAGTCAGATTTTTCCCCTTCGGGTCATATACTTTTAGTAGGAAACATGTTCTGCTTTGCTATGTCAGACAGCATGTTGTTAAGGCTTCTCGTGTCTGTTTTTTTCCAGTGGTGGGAGGAAGAAGGCAGACCAGGTCTGGGCAGGGTCCTAGAGGCTGGGAGGACGGGAGTCAGGTTTTCATGCACAGCATCTGTGAGGAAACAAAGCCTCAGGGCGAAGGTAAAACTATATTTGGGAAGGTGTGGCAAAGGTTAATATTAATCTAGAGAAACGAGATCTTGTCATTTTCCCAAGTTCAAGGGTCAGATTCACAGCCAAAAATAGGAGATGAAGTCATAGGTCAGGAACTCAGTAAACCCAAGTCCCATTAAAGCAGGTATGAGGTGAAAGGAACTAGTGCTACAGAGCGTAACAGGCGGAGCCCCAGAACTCGCTGTTACGGGATGAGCAAAGCTGAGCTAAGCCCAGGTCGATTTAATGAGAGAAGACGCGACAGCACCAGCTCAGTGGAATGCAAGTTGTAGTGCTCAGTGAATATTTATTGCATGAAAAAGGGGGTTTACTAATAAGTCAACAAGATTTGTGAAGCATATATAAGATTCATTAAAATATGCATGTCGCCAGCAAATTTAGCAGCTTTCCCAAAGAGAGGCAGAAGAGAGACAAAGGGTGTGAATGTTAACTTTTAAAATTCACTAACATTCCAGACGCAGGGGTTACTCCAGACTTCCTCTTGCCACCAAAACATCTAATCCAGTCACGTAGGAAACAGCTGCTTATTCCAGAATGAAGAATAATCTAAACTCTCTCTTTCTCTCTCTCCTTAATCATTCTTCCTGCTTCCCAGCCTGAATCTGAACTTATAATGGACGTAATAGGTCAGCGTTAGTTCCACAGTCTTCACCTGTGACAAATACTGTAAAATTTCATGCTCAAGGTCCGTGGCAGCTGATCCAGCTGAGAGAGCAACTCCAGACCTTGGTAACTGTGATTGCTGAAAAGAGCCACATCCACACGTGATGGCACGTGCACAGCACACACGTCATGGTTTCAGAGTGTGTTTCCCAGCCTAGTAGTAGTGCCTCACCTGGGAGTCCACCGGAAATGCAGACAGGAGACTTGTGGGCATAAAGAGACACCACAGGCCATGTAACGACATCTTATCACTGTGTCTCTAAAACAGGCTTCTGCAAGCTGTTTTGACAGATGGAAGTCTACCTGGGTAGATCAGTTAAGAGTCACTCTCCATTTACTCTCAGTTTGATTCAGCTCTTTAGTATCCTACCAGATTTATCTCATATCCAATGGTATGTATTTAAGAACCCGAGAGAAAAAAGAAACATCTCAAAGTGCCCTATTTACTAAAGAGCGCAAGGAGTCTCTACTCAGCAATAAACAGCGTTAGCATGCAGTAAGGTCGTAGTGTTTGTCACCATGGTGGCAAGGGGTTTATCACAATTAAATGATCGCTGGCAGTGGGGAACTGAGTACTAGAAAAGACAGAGAAATCCCTCTCACCTGGTATATGTTCTGAAAGCAGACATAAGAAGTACTGACTTCAAATGCACAAAGGTAAGTCTCTGTCACTAGACTACAGAGAATGGTTTTTATCAAAAAGATGAAAGGTGTTTTCAAGAATGTGGAGAAAAGGGAACCCGGCCAGGCGTGGTGGCTCACGCCTGTAATCCCAGCACTTTGGGAGGCTGAGGCAGACGGATCATGAGGTCAAGAGATCGAGACCATCCTGGCCAACATGGTGAAACCCTGTCTCTATTAAAAAATACAAAAATTAGCTGGGCGTGGTGGCACACGCCTGTAGTCCCAGCTACTCAGGAGGCTGAGGCAGAAGTCCTTGAACCCGGGAGGTGGAGGTTGCAGTGAGCCAAGATTGCGCCACTGCACTCCATCCTGGTGACAGAGCAAGACTCCATCTCAAAAAAGAAAAAAAAGAAAAGGGAACCCAACCCACTGTTGGTGGGAATGTAAGTTTGTACCACCATTTTGAAAAACAGTGTGGAGGTGCCTCAAAAATTGAATATAGAATTATCATAAAATCCAGCAATTCAACTTCTGGGTACATATCCAAAGAAATCAAAACGGCTGGGTGCAGTGGCTCACACCTGTAATCCCAGCACTTTGGGAGGCCGAGATGGGTGGACCACCTGAGGTCAGGAGTTTGAGACCAGCCTGGCCAACGTGGTGGCACCCCATCTCTATATAAAAAAAAAAAAGAAATCAAAATGAGTGCATCAAAGAGATATACGCACTCCCATGTTTACTGCAGCATTATTCACAATAGGCAAAATATAGGAACAAGCTAAATGTCCATCAGTGTCTAAACGGATACAGAAAATGTGGCATGTATACACAGTGGAATATCAGAGAACCTTGAAGTGGAAGGAAATCTTGTTTACAACATGGATGAACCTGAAGGACATAAGCTAAGTGAAGTAAGTCAGGTACAGAAAGCCAGATAATATCTCACTTATATGTTAAATCTAAAAAAGTTGAATTCATAGACACAGAGAGTAGAATGGTGGTTACCAGAGGATGTGGGGCAAGCATAGAGACAGCAGAGATGTTGTTCAAAGGATACAAACTTTCAGTTACACAAAAAGAGTACGTTTTAGAGATCTGCTGTGCAGCATGGCGACCACAGTTAATAATAAGGTATTATGTATCTCAAAATTGCTGAAAGAGTAGACTTCAAATGTTCTTGCTACACATTTGTAGGCTAGGTGATGGATATGTTGGTTAGCTTGATTTAATCTTTCTACAATGTATGCACATATAAAAACGTCACATTTTACCCTCATAAATGTATACAATCATTATTTGTCAATTAAAAAAGGTTTAAAGGTATTCCAGCTTCCTCCTACACACGTTAATGAGGATGACATAACTGAAAGAGCACTGTAATTGGCAGCAGTACTGTTTCCTTCCTCATTTTGACACATCGGATAGCCGCCAGTGCCAGGGATATGAGAGACAATTACTTCTCAGTAGAGTGCCACTATTTAGCGTATTAACGAGAACACTTTCTGAGCACTTATCTGCACAAGGTGGAACAAGTATTCCATTCCACGAGTTAAATCTAGTTCCTGCTTAGCTTTCCTAAGAGTCCATGATCTGCTTTAGGTCACCAACTCTTTTTTTTTTTTTTTTTGAGACGGAGTTTCACTCTTGTTACCCAGGCTAGAGTGCAATGGCACGATCTCGGCTCACCGCAACCTCCGCCTCCTGGGTTCGGGCAATTCTCCTGCCTCAGCCTCCCGAGTAGCCCGGATTACAGGCACGCGCCACCGTGCCCAGCTAATTTTTTGTATTTTTAGTAGAGATGGGGTTTCACTGTGTTGACCAGGATGGTCTCGATCTCTTGACCTCGTGATCCACCCGCCTCGGCCTCCCAAAGTGCTGGGATTACAGGCTTGAGCCACCGCGCCCGGCCCAGGTCACCAACTCTTAAGTCCTTTCCAATAAAGCCATTTTCTTTTCTTTGTTTTTTTTTTTTTTTTTTTGAGACAGAGTCTTGCTCTGTCGCCAGGAGCCAGGTTGGAGTGCAGTAGCTCGATCTCAGCTCACTGCAACCTCTGCCTCCCGGGTTCAAGCCATTTTCATCTTTGTTAAGAATGAGACCAGGGCAGATGATAATGTCAAGGTAGCAGTTTTTCTGGCAGGAGCTTGTTCCTGATTATTGCCTCTGCACTCGGGAATAAGGGATCTCACAGGCTTATGAGGGGACATTAGCTTAACTAGGGAGAGAACAATAAAGAGGATAAGGGATTTGAGTAGGAGGTGACAAAGCCTAGGAACAGATGGCTTGATGAAGAATGCTAAATAGGGTTAAAGATATTGATCTGCATGCTATTTTTAGTGTCCTCAAAAACTGGAGAAATTAACATTTGAGGAGTTTAGCCTAAGATATATGACAAGAATTGTAAAGATGTAAATACAGATATTGGAGAACAAATGCTTCAATAAATAGAACCAATAGCAGCTGCCATTTTAGAATGTACTATATGTGTAGCATATGGAAAGCTAAAGAATTGATGATTTCTCACTCAATCCTCTCAACAACACTTCCTTTGAAAGTCTTCAGTGACGTTTTAGAAAACACAACAGTCAGCCAGCAGGGTGGCTCACACCTATAATCCCAGCAGTTTGGGAGGCTAGGGTGGGTGTATCAACTGAGGTCAGGAGTTCGAGACCAGTCTGGCCAACATGGTTAAACCCCATCTCTACTAAAAATACAAAAATTAGCCTGGTATGGTAGTGCATGTCTGTAATCCCAGCTACTTGGAAGGCTGAGCGAGAAGAATCACTTGAACCCAGGAGGCAGAGGTTGCAGTGAGCTGAGATCGATCAACTGCACTCCAGCCTGGGTGACACAGTGAGACTGTCTCAAAAACAAAAACAAAACAACAAAAACCCACCACAAGCTTATCAGAACTGAATTAGAAAAGATAAAGTATAAGATAGGCTTCAGGAGCCAGGCATGGATGCTCATGTCTGTAATCCCAGCCCTTTGGGAGGCCAAGGCGGGCAGATCACCTGAGGTCAGGAGTTCGAGACCAGCCTAGCCAACATGGTGAAACCCCAGGTGTCAGGTGCCTATAATCCCAGCTACTTGGGAGACTGAGCCCGGAGAATCACTTGAAACTGGGAGGCAGAGGTTGCAGTGAGCTGAGATCATGCCATTGCACTCCAGCCTAAGTGACAAGAGCAAGACTTTGTCTCAAAAAAACAAACAAACAAACAAACAAAATTAGCCAAGCATGGTGGCACATACCTGTAATCCCAGCCACTTGGGAAGCTGAGGCAGGAGAATCGCTTAAACCCAGGAGGCATAGGTTGCAGTGAGCCCAGATTGGGCCGTTGCATTCCAGCCTGAGCGACAAGAGTGAAACTCTGTTTCAAAAAAAAAAAACAGACAGACCTCAGGAAAGACTGAAACCTAGGGCTGAAATGTTTCCAGAATTCTCTGCAGCCTCTACTACAATTTCTTTCTGCATGTGAGCATTTTTCTGTCCCACTACAGACTGACTTCTTCCACACAAGAGGGCATATCAACTCCAGAGCCTCACATCTCATAGTGCTCACCATCAGAGAGGACCTGAGACTACCTTTCTCCTCCAAATCAAAAAATCTGGTGGAAAGGCTCTGATCAGACCATATTAGGTCAGGTACCCATCCTCAGACCAATATTATGTCTGATATAGGGAACCATCAAATATTTTGTTTGGGTCAGTTTTCTAGCCCTAGACCAATTGTTGTGGCAGGGAAATAAGCCCCAACATGAATTACACAACTGAAAACGGAGATGTGGTCAGATGCTTGTGTTCATACTTGAGACAAAATAGTACAGGAATGCAAAGCTGTGAGAGTCCGTTTATCGAGTTGCAAGAAGGATCTGAAGAGTTCTGGAGCATGAATGGCCTTGAGTGAGGGCACTTGGCAAGCAGGACCAGTGACTACCAATATGGATTTTAGAAAATACAAGCATTCGGCTGGGAGCTGTGGCTCACGCCTGTAATCCCAACACTTTGGGAGGCTGTGGCGGGTGGATTACGAGGTCAGAAGATCAGACTATCCTGGCCAACGTGGTGAAACCCCACCTCTACTAAAAATCCAAAAATTAGCTGGGTGGGGTAGTGCACACCTGTAGTCCCAGCTACTCGGGAGGCTGAAGCAAGAGAATCCCTTGAACCAGGAAGTCGGAGTTTGCAGTGAGCTGAGATTGCGCCACTGCACTCCAGCCTGGAGATAGAGCGAGACTCTGTCTAAAAAAAAAAAAGAAAGAAAGAAAAGAAAAGAAAAACCATTTCTTGGAGATGCCTAGAATTTTATGGAGAAATAGGCCTTCCGGTGTTTTCTAAAGGGAGCGGGAAGGACTGAGAAAGGCCATGTCCCTTCCTGGAAGGTGCATACATTTTACTTTCATCCCTTGGCCAGAACTTGGTCACATGACCGCACTCAGCTGCAAAGGAGGCTGAGTGTTACTTATTATTTATTTAAAGTATTCTTTATTTTAAAGTATTTAAAGTGTTTATTTATTATTTAAGTATTTATTATTTATTTAAAGTATTATTTATTCTGGGTGACCATTTGCCAAGTTGAAATTAGAAATTCTTTTACTAAGAAAGGCCAGATGGAAATTAGAAGAAAACTTGCAACATGTGTCACAGACTATGCAATGTATATTTATTTATTATTTTGTCTGAACATAATAGTACCTTTTCTTCTTTGCGGGGAACGGTTCTCTCCTACTGCAGGGACTTGCCAAAGCAGCACCCCACTTCCCTGACGGTAAAATTCCCAACTCAGCTTGTTTCAAGCATAATACCCCCGTCTGCCTTGACTTCAGTGATTTGTGCAAAGGTCCAAATTTGACCTATCAGATCCCCTTCCTGGGATTTTCTAACTGAATTTTTCTTGGGTTATAAGGTCATAAGTATATAAGCCCATGGCTACTTAAGGCTATAGTTGAGATATGGTGACAGCAATTTAAAAGACTTAAAGCTGGCTGGTGCGGTGGCTCACACCTGTAATCCCAGCACTTTGGGAGACTGAGGTGGTGGGCGGATCACAAGGTGAAGAGATGGAGACCTTCCTGGCCAACATGGTGAAACCTCGTCTCTACTAAAAGTATAAAAATTAGCTGAGCGTGGTGTTGCACGCCTGTAATCCCAGCTACTCGGCAGGCTGAGGTGGGAGAATCGCTTGAACCCGGGAGGAAGAGGTTGCAGTGAGCCGAGATCATGCCACTGTACTCCAGCCTGGCAACAGAGACTCCATCTCAAAAGAAAAAAGACTAGAGCCAATACAGAAAGAGAAAAATGAAGAGAGAAAAATTAGAAATTTCTGGGTAATATCCAAGCTCTTGGAGCCAGTCACCCATAAAAACAAATCCACCCTTACCCTTTCTGCTGATTGGCCATTTAAACCAATACATCTCCCATTATTCCTTAAGCCCGTTCCATCTAGGATTCTGTAATTTGCAATCAAAAGTGTATTTACCTTTAAAATTTATATAAATTTTAGAAATACTTAGAAATTAAATTTCTAAACAGTTAAACACAGCTATACCATATTCAAAATCAGAGGAAGCTATTAATCATGTGACGTGTTCCTGCTAAATGGTCTCTGACTTTCAGCCTTCAGGTAACATAAATCAAAGGTATTACATTGTTGTGTTGTGTTCTGCTATGTTGTGTTGTATTGTGCTGTATTAAGTAATTCTGAACAATCACCTACAGAACCTAGCACCTATTAACTAGGCTCTAGGGACATAAGATGATAGCACTAACCAGGCACAGTGTCTCACACCTGTAATCCCAGTACTTTGGGAAGCTTAGGCAGGTGGATCACCTGAGGTTAGGAGCTTGAGACCAGCCTAGTCAACATGGTGAAACCCCGTCTCTACTAAAAATACAAAATATTAGCTGGGCATGGTAGTGCTCACTTGTAGTCCCAGCTACTCAGGAGACTGAGGGAGAAGAATCAGTTGAACCTGGGAGACGGAGGTTACAGTGAGCTGAGATCTGACCCCTGCACTCCAAACTGGGCAACAGAGTGAGACTCCATCTCTAAATAAATAAATAAATAAGGTAAGCAGTGGCACAAAAGCAGAAGTGATCGACTTGACATTTTTAACTTCATTTACCAAAGATTTCTCATAATTAATCTGCTAATATCCTTTAGTGCTAAAAGGACAACTGCTACAAAAAAAGTGTATTTTCTTAAAATTCCAAATTGGAAATATTTTTTCTTTATTATTTCCCTATGAAATAATTAAACTCTATTCTATTTTATTGTGAGAGATTTTAAGTAGAATAGTAAAGAAATCCAACTAATTTGGTGAGTTCAAATTATTGAGATGATTAATTAGTCAAGACCTTATGAATTTCTCAGACATTTTTGCCTTTTTTTTGAGATGGAGTTTCTCTCTTGTTGCCCAGGCTGGAGTTCAGTGGTCGGATCTCAGCTCACTGCGACCTCCGCCTCCCAGGTTCAAGCGATTCTCCTGTCTCAGCCTACTGAGTAGTTGGGATTGCAGGTGCCCGCCACTACGCCTGGCTAATTTTTGTTATTTTTAATAGAGATGGGTTTCTCCATGTTGGCCAGGATGGTATCGAACTCCTGACCTCAAGTGATCCACACACCTCAGCCTCCCAAAGTTCTGGGATTACAGGCATGAGCCACCACGCCCAGCCAACATTTTTAATACAAGGAAAAAATAAAATAAAAAAGCTTTCTGAAGTATCCAAACTAATATATCACTATTTGAATCACAAAAAACATAATTTTTGGCTGAGTTCCCTTAAATAGGAAAATTAACTTTTTTTTTTTTTTTGAGACGGAGTTTCGCTCTTGTTACCCAGGCTGGAGTGCAATGGTGCAATCTCGGCTCACTGCAACCTCCGCCTCCTGGGTTCAGGCAATTCTCCTGCCTCAGCCTCTGAGTAGCTGGGACTACAGGCACGCGCCACCATGCCCAGCTAATTTTTTGTATTTTTAGTAGAGACAGGGTTTCACCATGTTGACCAGGATGGTCTCAATCTCTTGACTTCGTGATCCACCCTCCTCAGCCTCCCAAAGTGCTGGGATTACAGACGTGAGCCACCGCGCCCAGCCAGAAATTAACTTTTTACATAGTAGGTGATAGTCAATAATACTTATGTTTTCACTAGATCATGTGTACATAACTATTTTGCTCAAAAGAGTTATTTATTTAAATCAAACAGGTTTGACAAGACTCTAGGATGCAGTGGTCAATAGTATCCTTCATGCGACAGCTACCATGAAACCAAGCATACAGAGCCAAGTAAGCATTGACAAGTTCTGTAGAGCCCAGCTCAAGCTGTGGTGATCATTGGATGAAATCCAGCCAAGATCCCTTGGCCTAATAAGAGGTTTGAGTTTCTCAGGAGAACCCGGGCAAAGCCAAATTAAGAGAAAAAGGAAGGTGAAAGAAAACTTAAACATTTCACTGTGAGTTTTTTCCATTTTTTATTGTGGTGAAATACACAGAACATAAATGGACTGCAGTATCGTAGCCATTTTTAAGTACCATATATAGTTCACTGGAATTAGCCACATTCAGATTGCCGAGCAGCCATCACCACCATTCGACTCCAGAACTCTTTTCACTTTGCAAAACTGAAACACTATATTCATTAAAAAATACGTCTCCATTTTCTCTGTTCCCCCCAACCCCTGGAAATCACCATTCTACTTTCTGTCTTTGTGTTTTTTATTGCTCTAGGTTTGTTTGTTTTTTTTTTTTTTGAGACAGACTTTCACTCTTATTGCCCTCGCTGGAGTGCAACAGCACAGTCAGCTAACTGCAACCTCTGCCTCCCAAGTTCGAGCAATTCTCCTGCTTCAGCCTCCAAGTAGCCCACGCTCAGCTAATTTTTGTATTTTTAGTAGAGAAGGGGTTTTACCATGTGGGGCAGGCTGGTCTCGAACTCCTGACCTCAGGTGATCCACCCATTTCCACCTCCCAAAGTGCTGGGATTACAGGGGTAAGCCACCACACCCAGTGCTCCAGGTACTTTGTATAAGTGAAATCATACCTACAGTATTTGTCTTTTCTTGTGACTGGCTTTTCTTTTTTTTGAGACAGAGTCTTGCTCTGCAGCCAGACTGGAGTGCAGTGGCGCAATCTCAGCTCACTGCAACCGCTGCCTCCTGTGTTCAAGCAATTCTTCCACCTCAGCCTCCCAAGTAGCTGGGACCATAGGCACGTGCCACCCTGCCCGGCTAATTTTTTTGTATTTTTAATAGAGACGGGTTTTCACCGTGTTGGCCCAGATGGTCTCGATCGCTTGACCTCGTGATCTGCCTGCCTAGGCCTCCCAAAGTGCTGGGATTACAGGCGTGAGGCACCAGCCTGGCCGTGACTGGCTTATTTTACCTAGCATAATGTCCTCAAGGTTCATCCATATTGTAGCATATGTCAGTGTTCCCTTCCTTTTTAAGGCTGAATAATATTCCATTGTGTATGTATAGCATATTTTGTTTATCCATTCATATGCTGATGGACATTTAGTGAACTGTACTGTTTTTATGAATTAAAATTACATATTAATAATCTCTAGTATCAGCTATATTTAATAAATATGCGTTTAATAAATATACAGAAACATAGTTAAATTGATGGTAAGTTAGGAAATTCAGTTTTGTTTCCAAATCTCAAAAAGATATCAGAGAGAATATATTTGTCTCTACAACTCATTAGATGAATGATTTTTTTTTTTGAGACGTAGTTTCGCTCTCGTTACCCAGACTGGAGTGCAATGGCGCAATCTCGGCTCACCGCAACCTCCGCCTCCTGGGTTCAAGCAATTCTCCTGCCTCAGCCTCCTGAGCAGCTGGGACAACAGACGCACACCACCATGCCCAGCTGATTTTTGTATTTTTAGTAGAGACGGGGTTTCACCATGTTGACCAGGATGGTCTCGATCTCTTGACCTCGTGATCCACCCACCTCAGCCTCCCAAAGTGCTGGGATTATAGGCGTGAGCCACCGTGCCCGGCCTGATGAATGATTTTTGTCAAAATTGTTACAAGTTTAATAGGAAACTTTCAATGATAAAGCAACTACCCCTACTGTGGTATGTTGAGAGTAGGACCCATCCACCCACAAACTGTTGTTTGATTAAACCCATTGTCCAGGGTTCTGACATCAGCAGGCCGTGAGGGATTCGAGTGAGGCTATTCTTGATACTCAGAAGATTTATGTTCCACAGATGAGTAACTGTAGTAATTAACTGCATTTAAGATGTTATTGCTTAGGGATGCTTTAGATTTGTACTAGCAATAGCTCAAGAATGAACTTACTGGCGAGTACAGGAGAAGTTTCAACAATTTAGCCCAAAGAAAGCTCTAGGAAAGCATTTATTTGCAGCTGTCTCCAGTAGAGGTTGTTCATCCTCTCAGGCTCCGCGGTCTCCAGGACAAGTAATTTGGTGGTTGCATTCTCTTGGCTTCCCGGTTTTCCTCTAAAAAACAGAGGATTGAAAAGATATCAGTAACTCACCCGAGGTCATATATCAGGGAAGTTGTAATGAGTTCTCCAAAGATGCTGTCGTCTCTGAAATCTTTTTTTTTTTTTTTTTTTTAGACAGAGTCTCTCTCTGTTGCCAGGCGCCAGGCTGGAGCGCAGTGGCGTAATCTCAGCTCACCGCAACCTCCGCCTCCTGGGTTCAAGCAATTCTCCTGCCTCAGCCTCCTGAGTAGCTGGGACTACAGGCACCCACCACCATGCCCAGCTAATTTTGAATCTTTAGTGGAGATGGGTTTTCACCATGTTGGCCAGGATGGTCTTGATCTCTTGACCTCGTGATCCGCCCGCCTTGGCCTCCCAAAGTGCTGGGATTACAGGCCTGAGCCACCGCACCCGGCCACTTGCTCCTTCTCAAAAGATAACCTAATCTCGCAGTTCACTTAGAAAATTGAGGCCTTGGTACAAATGGGAAGGAATTTCCTTACCCTTCAGGCCCTGCATTCATAAGCCTGTGTTCAGCTGAATCTATCCTTACCTCACACACATTTCTGAACAAAAGCCCTTCCCTCTGGCATAGAGAAAATGCCCCATCTATTCAAGATTAATTTTCCCCATTATTGTACATGGTTCCATCCCCTTCTGCTTGCTCAGGGAGTTTGGGCCATTAATGTTTCATTTATCTTCCATATTTTCCACTTCTCTTTCTCTCCTGGATTCCTCCCTGAAGTCCACACTACCCTCATTTTATTTATTTATTTATTTATTTATGAGACAGAGTTTCGCTCTTGTTACCCAGGCTGGAGTGCAATGGCATGATCTCGGCTCACCGCAACCTCCGCCTCCTGGGTTCAGGCAATTCTCCTGCCTCAGCCTCCCAACTAACTGTGATTACAGGCACGCGCTACCATGCCCAGCTTATTTTTGTATTTTTAGTAAAGACGGGGTTTCACCTTGTTGACCAGGATGGTCTCGATCTCTTGACCTTGTGATCCACCCACCTTGGCCTCCCAAAGTGCTGGGATTACAGGCTTGAGCCACCGCGCCCAGCCTAGTACCCTCACTTTAAAACAAACAAAATGAAAGCCAGCTTCCTTAAACATTCATTGGAACCCGCATCTCTTTTAAACAACTGAGCTTCCCCACAAACGAGCTTCTTGAATTACACAGCAAATCTCTCCTCTCTTCTTCCTCAACTCCCATTTGCGCTTCAAACCACTTCAACTGGGCTTCCATTTCCACCAGTTCACTGCACCTGTTGTAGCAAATGTCCGTCGAAGCTGTACTTGTCACCTCTTTCATGATTACTATTGTTTACCTATGCATTCTGCTTTTTCGCTGAATATAGCTTTAAATTTCTGTCTATGCAGTTACTGCACAGTTTTTTGTTTGTTTGTTTGGAGACAGAGTTTCACTCTCATTACCCAGGCTGGAGTGCAATGGCTCGATCTCAGCTCACTGTAACCTCCACCTCCTGGGTTCAAGCGATTCTCTCGCCTCTGCCTCCCGAGTAGCTGGGATTAGAGGCACCTGCCACCATGCCCGGTAAGTCTCTTATTTTTAGTAGAGATGGGGGGTTTCGTCATGTTGGGCAGGCTGGTCTCGAACTCCTGACTACTGCAGTTTTCTTAGTCATTAAATTATATAGATTTAGAGCATTAGGCTGAGCGCGGTGGCTCACACCTATAATCTCAGCACTTTGGGAGGCCAAGGCGGGCAGATCACAAGGTCAGGAGATCGAGACCATCCTGGCTAACACAGTGAAACCCCATCTCTACTACAAATACAAAAAAATTAGCTGGGTGTGGTGGCTCACGCCTGTAGTACCAGCTACTCAGGAGGCTGAGGCAGGAGAATCCCTGGAACCCGGTAGGCGGAGGTTGCGGTGAGCCGAGATGGCTCCACTGCACTTCAGCCTGGCGACAGAGCGGGACTCCGTCTCAAAAACAAAACAAAACAAACAAAACGAGCTTTAGACAAAAAAGAGAGAAAGAAATTAAATAAATAAATAAAGATTTAGAGCGTCTTTGCGACAGTGTTGTCGGAGGTCGAGCAGTTCCTGACGACGCTGACCAGACTCTCCCAGGAGTGCTGGACGTTGGGAACCATCTGTTATCACCTCGAAAAAGTATGACGGTCAAACCAAACCCGCTCCAAAGATAGATTCTGTGGAGGGCTTTGAGCCCTCAGACAAGTGTCTGTTAAGAGCTACCGATGGGAAACAGATCAGCACTGTGGTGAGCTCCGAAGACGTGAGTTTCAGATGGCTTATGCAAACCGACCGAGAGCTAACGGATGGGCTGAAGAGGGACAACAAGAAGGAAGGTAAGAAGCCCAAAGCAGCAGGACGGCGAAGGGCACACATTTCCTGCTTTCACCAATTAACCGCTGAATTGCTATTTTTTTCCTTTGGTTTTTACTTTTGGCCGCCTAGCCAGGTTTCTGGTTCCCCCACAGTAGGTGTTTTTACTTAAGATTAGGGTCCTTTGGAAAGAATAGCTGCAGTGTTTTGTTTTGTTTTTTTGAGACGGAGTTTCGCTCTTGTTACCCAGGCTGGAGTGCAATGGCGCGATCTCGGCTCACCGCAACCTCTGCCTCCTGGGTTCAGGCAATTCTCCTGCCTCAGCCTCCCGAGCAGCTGGGATTACAGGCACGCGCCACCACGCCCAGCTAATTTTTTTGTATTTTTAGTAGAGACGGGGTTTCACCATGTTGACCAGGATGGTCTCGATCTCTTGACCTTGTGATCCACCTGCCTCAGCCTCCCAAAGTGCTGGGATTACAGGCTTGAGCCACCGTGCCCGGCTAGCTGCAGTGTTTATAGGGTAGTTGTTGTAAGACTCTAGTTTATTTCCCACCTGGCTAATTGATCTGTGCTGCATGGTTGTATACTCCCGGATTATAGATTAAAAGGCTCTGTAGTCATCTCTGTGAAAAGCAAGCTGTCATTAAACATGTTTGTTTATAAAAAATTATATAGATTTAGATTATTAGATTAGGCTATTATATTATACCTGTATCTCTGATGTGAAAGAAGCTTTCTTCCATTTCATTTTTGAAGTGGTTGCTCCTGGTATAGAGAAACACATATTATTTTTGTGTGTTGATCTTGTCAGCCTGCTCTTATTGGTTTCAATAGTTTGTCAGGTTTCTTTTCTTTTCTATGTAGGTCATCGTGTCATCTTCAAATAAAGACAATTTTCTCTTTCCAGTCAATACATCCCCTTTTGCTCCCATATTATTATGTGTGTTTGACTTCTGTAAATGTGAAAAAGTGGCATGAATCTCCCCTCATCTGGGACTTCCTCTGAAGATGCATTATTAAGTATAATGTCTGCTTTGTCTGCTTGTACATTATGAATGTTTATCAAGTTAAGACATTTTCTTTCCTTTTTTTTTTGATAAGAACTTTTTAAAAATTGCATTTTAGGTTTTGGGGTACATGTGAAGAACATGCAAGATTGTTGCATAGGTACACACGTGACAGTGTGATTTGCTCCCTTCCTCCCCTTCACCTATATCTGGCATTTCTCCCCATGCTATCTCTCCCCAACTCCCCACCCCCGCTGTCTCTCCCCTATTTCCCCCCAACAGACCCCAGTGTGTGATCTCCCCTCCCTGTGTCCATGTGTTCTCATTGTTCAACACCCACCTATGACTGAGAACATGTGGTGTTTGATTTTCTGTTCTTGTGTCAGTTTGCTGAGAATGATGGTTTCCAGGTTCATCCATGTTCCTACAAAGGACACTAATTACTGTTTTTGATGGCTGCATAGTATTCCATGGTGTATATGTGCCACATTTTTCCTGCCCAGTCTATCATCGATGGGCATTTGGGTTGCTAAGAACTTTTATTGTTTACTCAGGAATGGATGTTAAATTTTGTCAAATCCCTTTTATTTATCTGTTGAAATAATCATATATATTTCCCATTTTAGTATCTAAAGTATTTAGGGAAATTATATTTAAAGACTTTCTAATATTAAACCATTTCTATAAGCCTGGAATAAATGGAATAAATCCTACTTGGTCCTGGTGGATTATCCTTTAAATACACTTCTGGCTTCATTTGTTAATATTTAAGACTTTGCACTTGTATTCATAAATAGAATGGCCTATAATTTTCTTTTCTGGTGCTATTTCTTTTTTTTTTTTTTTTTTTTTTTTTTTTTTTTTTTTTTTTTGAGACAGAGTCTTGCTCTGTCGCCAGCCTCCAGGCTGGAGTGCAGTGGCACAATCTCAGCTCACTGCAACCTCTGCCTACCGGGTTCAAGCAATTCTCCTGCCTCAGCTTCCCAAGTAGCTGGGACTACAGGTGCGTGCCATCATGCCCGGCTAATTTTTATACTTTTAGTAGAGATGGGATTTCACCATGTTGTCTAGGATGGTCTCAATCTCTTGACCTTGTGATCCACTCGCCTCAGCCTCCCAAAGTGCTGGGATTACAGGCATGAGCCTCTGGTGCTATTTCATATGCTTTTGGTAGGCTGGCTTTGCCAGGTTACAAACTAAGATGGACTGTTTTCTTTCTTTCTTTGTCTTTATGCTAGGCTGAGTTACAATTATTTCTCTCTAACCAGTGTTGAAATGTAAACTCTCTGAGAGCAGGAACTGTGCTTGTCTCATCGTGTGCTATCTTCCCAGCATCTAGAACAGTGCATAACACTTGGCAGAGGACAGAAAAATGTTGAATGGCCGGGCACGGTGGCTCACACCTGTAATCCCAGCACTTTGGGAGGCGGAGGCAGGTGGATCACAAGGTCAAGAGATCGAGACCATCCTGGTCAACAAGGTGAAACTCCGTCTCTACTAAAAATACAAAAAAATAGCTGGGCATGGTGGCACGTGCCTGTAATCCCAGCTACTCAGGAGGCTGAGGCAGGAGACTTGCCTGAACCCAAGAGGTGGAAGTTGCGGTGAGCCGAGATTGCGTCATTGCATTCCAGCCTGGGTAACAAGAGCGACACTCTGTCTCAAAAAAAAAGAAAAGAAAAATGTTGAATGAATGAAGCTCTCCCCACTTTGACCTCTCAAGGTGCATTGTATCTTTTTACAGGTAATCATTATATTCTAGTGCTTTCTTCTTTACTAAATTTTCTGATTTTTATTTTTTATTTTTATTCTATTTTTTATTTTTTATTTACTTTGAGATGGAGTTTCTCTCTGTCTCACCTAGGCCGGAGTGCAGTGGCACAATCTTGGCTCAGTGCAGCCTACGCCTCCCAGGTTCAAGCGATTCTCCTGTCTCAGCCTCCCGAGTAGCTGGGACTACAGGTGCCCACCACCACACTGGCTAATTTTGTATTTTTAGTAGAGATGAGGTTTTACCATGTTGGCCAGACTGGTCCCAAACTCCTGACCTCAGATAATCCACCTGCCTTGCCCTCTCAAAGTGCTGAGATTTACAGGCGTGAGCCACTGTGCCTGGCCTCTCTTGTATTTTTATTTTTATCTCTTTATCTGATTTTTCCCTGTATTATTGATTGTGCCTAGCAAGGAGAAATCTAATCAGTATTTGTTAAATAAATTAAAGAAAAATGTAAGTAACATGAAAGAACAGGATGCCACTGTACTTTAGATGAGGCACAAGGCTTGGCCTAAACAAAACTTTTCTCTGGTGACAACCAGCTGCATTATAGGCCTCATTAACCTCGTCTTGCTGTTTCTGGCTCAGTGCTCTGCTGCTGTCCCACAGAGCCTGTTACTTTTCCTTCTACTGCCATAAAATTACCCGTCCTATTTTTTATTTCCTCAGAGTCTAAGATTTCAGCCAGCAAGTCAAACAAACTAATTTTCATTAATAGAGAACAGTAATTGGAGAAGCCAAAGGGAGCACATGCCTAGGCAATAAATGTGCATTTTTAATAAAACACTGTGCTTTTTCTAATTATAGAAGACACTTTTTATTATAGAAAAAATTGTAAGCACCAAAAAATAGAAAATAAAAAGCACACACACAAAATTCAGGCGAGTCATAATATTTTGGTTGTAACATAGCAGAGTAGTTAAGAGCCCGGATTCCACTGCCTAAGCTTGACTCCCGCCTCTACCACCTTCTAGCTATTTGACCTTGGGCAAGTTTCTTAACCTGTCAATGTCTCAGCTTTATCATCTGTAAAACAGAGATAGTGATAACACCTATTATTGCTATGAGACTTAAATGAGAGAGACTAATGAGACTTAAATGTAGAGTCCTTAAAACAATCTCTGGCACATAATAAGGTCTAGGTTAGGTTGTTTCTTTTTTTTCTTTTTTCTTTTTTGAGACAGTCTTGCTCTGTTGCCCAGGCTGCAGTGCAGTCATGCGATCTCAGCTCACTGTAACCTCTGCCTCCGGGTTCAAGCAGTTCTCTTCCTTAGCCTCCTGAGTAGCTGGGATTACAGGCATCTGCCACCACGCCCAGCTAATTTTTGTATTTTTAGTAGAGACGGGGTTTCATCATCTTGGCCAGACTGGTCTTGAAATCCTGACCTCGTGATCCATCCGCCTTGGCTTCCCAAAGTGCTGGGATTACAGACATGAGCCACCACACCCAGCTATGTTAGGTATTCGCTATTATTGTTTTGGCAGCTGTCCTTCCAGATAGATAAGACAGACCAACAGAGAAGAGATATAACTATAAACACGTGTACTTTCAAAAGTACTGGAATTGTTCTTTTTTTTTTTGAGGCAGAGTCTTGCTCTGTTGCCAGTGCAATCTCAGCTCACTGCAACCTCTGCCTCCTGGGTTCAAGCGATTCTTCCGCCTCAGCCTCCCGAGTAGCTGAGACCACAGGCACGTGCCTCCACACCTGGCTAATTTTTGTATTTTTAGTAGAGACGGGGTTTCACCATGTTGGCCAGGATGGTCTCGATCTCTTGATTTCGTGATCCACCTACCTCGGCCTCCCAAAGTGCTGGGATTACAGGTGTGAGCCACCATGCCCAGCCTGGAATCATTCTTTACCTGTATCTTCTTATTGCTTTTGTCACTTAAAAGCACGCCATAAGACCAGACACGGTGGCTCAGCCTGTAGTCCGAGCACTTTTGAAGGCTCAAGTGGGAGGACTGCTTGAGCCCAGGAGTTTGAGACTAGCTTGGGCAACATAGCAAGAACCTGTCTACAAAAAAAAAAAAAAAAAAAAGGCCAGGTATGGTGGCACATGCCTGTAGTCCTAGCTACTAAGTAAACTGAGGTGGGAGGATTGCTTGAGACCAGGAGTTGAAGGCTGCAGTGAGCCATGATCTTGCCACTGTGCTCCAGCCTGGGCAACAGAGCAAAATCCTGTCTCAAAAAAAAGAAAAAACTAAAAACAAACAAAAAAAAAAACTTTTGCCCCCCCAAAATCTACAAATAAAATAATATACATTTTTTAAATATGACCTTTTGAGGACAAAATATTCTTCCCTCCAACCTCCCAAACTCATTCTTTTCCCTGCTGCCCAGACAACTGAGTGAAACAGTGGAGGAAGGCAAGAATCCCAGCTACAGCCATCAGTGATATTACCTTAACATTAACACTGCAATGTTACCCAGCGTCTTCACGCCACAAGGAACTTGCCAGTGTAAAAAGGAGGAGTCGGATGTGGGATATTTTTAGTCTCTGCTGATCCCTGCCACGTGGTTGTTAATAGTAGCTGAGGTTATCATCTACTGCTCACTTACGCTCTTCAAGCACTGAAGCAAGCCTTTGCGTTCATTCATCCTCACGATAATACATACCAATATTATGACATTTTATCAATATTAGTATTATTATACATATTAATAATATTATAAGAATTATAGGCCGGGCGCGGTGGCTCACGCCTATAATCCCAGCACTTTGGGAGGCCAAGGCAGGTGGATCACGAGGTCAAGAGATCGAGACCATCCTGGTCAACATGGTGAAACCCTGTCTCTACTAAAAACACAAAAATTAGCTGGGCATGGTGGTGCGTGCCTGTAATCCCAGCTACTCAGGAGGCTGAGGCAGGAGAATTGCTTGAACCCGGAGGCGGAGGTTGCGGTGAGCCGAGATCGTGCCATTGCACTCCAGCCTGGGTAACAACAGCGAAACTCCAGCTCCAAAAAAAAAAAAAAAAAAAAAAAAAGAATTATAATGAACAACACTGAGGTTCACCCAGGTTAAGGAGATTTGTTTAAAGTTACATGATAAGTGGCAAAGCCGGGATTCAAGCCCAAGCTAGTTTAACTCCAAAACCAGGACATCAGAATGTCTCTAAGCATGTTATTACTAATCTGTTTCATTTAGCAATTTCAATTCCTCAGAAGACTTTCATATACATAGTTTGGCCCTAATAAGCCTGTGGGATATAATTAAAGGCATTAGGATCGATTCACAGCTAGGGAACTAAGGCAAAGTCTACTGCAATATAATAATAAACACAAAACCTCACATGTCCATTGCTGCCTATTAGGGTTGTAACCAGTGCCGTACCTGCAGTTAGAACTCAAAATTACTCACATAAGCACTTCGAGTTCGATGTAGATGACAGCTCTATAGATATCCCACACCCATCGTTTCTCCTAGCTGCAGCAGGAATGCCAGTGACAGAATGACGACAGGAGTTCTGGCCAACTCCAACCCATCCTCATTCAGCAAGCTTGTTCTTTCTCTGTTTGTGCTCCCAGCTGACAGAGTTACCTCAAAAAAAGAAATCATTTCTGCAAACATTTGAAGCAGCTCAACCCTCTGGCGTTTAGCAGAGTAAGACTCTGTCAGAATAATCTAGAAATCTGTTTTCTGATGCTAGAATTAAAATGCCTGCATTTTTAGGTGTTTGTTTTGTTTTGTTTTGTTTTTTGCCATTGTTCCGCCATTAGATTTGCCCAAAAATATAAATATACGCATAGGCTTTGACTTATTCAAAATAGCATACTTTGAACATTGCAGCTTTATTATTTTATGTTTACTTATGGGCCTTATAAATGTCAGGGCCAGGTGCAGTGGTTCTCGCTTGTAATCTCAGCACTTTGGGAGGCCGAGGTGGGTGGATCACCTGAGGTCAGGGTTGAAGACCAGCCTGGCTAACATGGTGGAACCCCGTTTCTACTAAATATACAAAACGTTAGCCAGGCGTGGTGGCGCACTTGTAATCCCAGCTACTCCAGAGGCTGAGGCAAGAGAATCTCTTGAACCCGGGAGGCAGAGGTTGCAGTGAGCCGAGATCATGCCATTGCACTCTGGCTTGGGCAACAAGAGAGAAACTTCGTCTCAAAAAAAAAAAAAAAAAGTCATTACGATTTAGAGTACTAGTACAGTGCACTGCATAACTGATTTTAACAGCTTTTTTCATAAGACCAACCCTTGACAGCTTACCAATACTTAAATATTTTCTAATGAGTGATATATTGGTAAAAGAGTATTCCAATGCAGAGCTAGGCTTAGGAGAAATTGAGCCCAAGAAATGAGGGGGCATAACAGCAGGAGAGAAAATGGCAGTCTGAATCTGGGAGACCTAAGCGTCAGAGACAGAGAGGGGAACACACGGTTCAGATATGGGTAGCATGGGTACCCTCACTGACAAAATACAGTGCTGTTTAGAGCATCTGATGTCCTATAACACAGAACTGTCAGCTGCCTGGGTTCCAGCCTCTAGAAAAGAGAAAAACAATATGCCAACCACATCCCTAATTCAAGGGTTGCCATATATGTATATTTCTATTGCCTCCCTTAAGCTGAAGTCATTTTTTTTTTTTTTTTTTTTTTTGAGACGGAGTTTCGCTGTTCTTACCCAGGCTGGAGTGCAATGGCACGATCTCGGCTCACCGCAACCTCCGCCTCCTGGGCTCAATCAATTCTCCTGCCTCAGCCTCCTGAGTAGCTGGGATTACAGGGCATGCGCCACCATGCCCAGCTAATTTTTGTATTTTTAGTAGAGATGGGGTTTTACCATGTTGACCAGGATGGTCTCGATTTCTTGACCTCGTGATCCACCCGCCTCGGCCTCCCAAAGTGCTGGGATTACAGGCGTGAGCCACTGCGCTTGGCCAGCAATTTTTTTTTACTGTCTTTTCAATTGCTTCTATAGTCATTGGCTATTAGATTCCCTACCTCTTTTTGAGTCAGTTTTGGTTTCTATTTACTTAGAAATTCCTGTTTCACCTAAATTTTAAATTTATTGCTATAAGGTAATGCGCAATACATGATTATGCTTTTAAAATCTTCACTATTGGCTGGGCGCGGTGGCTCACGCCTATAATCCCAGCACTTGGGGAGGCCGAGGCGGGTGGATCCCAAGGTCAAGATATTGAGACCATCCTGGTCAACATGGTGAAACCCCGTCTCTACTAAAAATAAAAAAAATTACCTGGGCTTGGTGGTGCGCGCCTGTAATCCCAGCTACTTGGGAGGCTGAGGCAGAAGAATTGCCTGAACCCAGGAAGGGGAGGTTGCGGTGAGCCGAGATCGTGCCATTGCACTCCAGCCTGGGTAACAAGAGCGAAACTCCCTCTCAAAAAAAAAAAAATTCACTATTTCTGTGATTATATCTCCTTTTCATTCCAGTGCTTTGTTATTGTTTGTTTTGAGACAGAGTCTCACTCTGTTGCCCAGGTTGGAGTGCAGTGGCACCATCTCAGCTCACTGTAACCTCTGCCTCGCAGGTTCAAGTGATTCTCCTGGCTCAGCCTCCTGAGTAGCTGGAATTACGGGCACATGTCAGCACACTTGGCTAATTTTTGTATTTTTAGTAGACACAGGGTTTCACCATGTTGGCCAGGCTGGTCTCGAACTCCAGGCCTCTGGGTAACAGGCGTGAGCTACTGTGCCTGGCCCCAGTGCTGTTTTTATATTTTCTCTCCTTCTCCATCTTTCTTTCTTTTTTTAATCAGACTTGCCAAAGATTGGTCTATTTTATTGGTTATCAAAGAATCAGATTTTTAGTACACTAATTGAGTATGCTTTTCATTGTTTCATTAATTTCTGCCTTTTTATCTCTTTTAATTCCGTCCCCCAACTTTTATAAGAGTTGTTTGTGATGTTCTGTGCTTAGCTTATTGAGTTTAATGTTTGGGTCATTGATTTTCTTTTCTTTCTTTTGTTTTCTAGCCCAGAAATCACTTTATTCCAGACGGATTGCAATCTTTTATATTTTTTGAGTGCATTTCTAAAGTATACATTTTCTTTTGAATGTCACTTTCTGTACACTATAGGTTTTGCTTTGTAATATTTTCCGTACTGTCTTTAATTTCCATTTTGATTTACCCTTTAACCCAAGGGGTTCTTTTTTTTTTTTTTTTTTTTTTTTTTTTTTTTGAGACAGAGCCTCACTCTGTCACTCAGGCTGGAGTGCAGTGGCATGATCTCAGCTCACTGCAACCTCCACCTCCCAGATTCAGGCGATTCTCATGCCTCAGTCTCCCGAGTAGCTGGGATTACAGGTCCCCACCACCACCATCTGGCTAATTTTTGTATTTGTAATAGAGAAGGGATTTTACCATGTTGACCAGGCTGGTCTTGAACTCCTGACCTCATGTGATCTGCACCCCTCAGCTTCCCAAAGTTTTGGGATTACAGGCATGAGCCATCTGTTATATTACAGGCATGAGCCCACCACTGGGAGTGGTGGTGCACGCCTGTAATCCCAGCTACTTGGGAGGCTGAGGCAGGAGAATTGCTTGAACCCCGAAGGCAGAGGTTGCAGTGAGCCGAGATTACATCACTGCACTCCAGTCTGGGCAACAGAGAAAGACTCCGTCTCAAAAACAGTAATAATAGGCCGGGCGCGGTGGCTCACGCCTATAATCCCAGCACTTTGGGAGGCTGAGGCGGGTGGATCACGAGGTCAAGAGATCAAGACCATCATGGTCAACAAGGTGAAACCCCGTCTCTACTAAAAATACAAAAATTAGCTGGGCATGGTGGTGCGCACCTGTAATCCCAGATACTTGGGAGGCTGAGGCAGGAGAATTGCTTGAACCCAGAAGGCAGAGGTTGTGGTGAGCCGAGATCGTGCCATTGCACTCCAGTCTGGGTAACAACAGCAAAATTCCATCTCAAATAATAATAATAAATAAAAATAAAGTTCAGCTGGCCATGGTTGCTCATGCCCGTAATCCCAGCACTTTGGGAGACTGAGGCGGGCGGATCACAGTGTTGGGGGATGGAGACCATCCAGGCCAACATGGTGAAACCCCCGTCTCTACTAAAAACACAAAAATCAGCCTGGTGTGGTGTTGCACACCTGTAGTCCCAGCTACTCAGGAGGCTGAGGTAGGAGAATCACTTGAACCCAGGAGGTGGATGTCACAGTGAGCTGAGATCGTGACACTGCACTCCAGCCTAGCGACAGAGGGAGAGTCTGTCTCAAAAATAAATAAATAAATAATAAAGTTGAAGGATATGTAGCAAAGAAAATTACTTACAACAACCCAATATTATAATCTGTCTGTAAAATAAACACGTCTACTCCTTCCAACTTCATAAGGGTGAAAAATAAGAGTTTAAAATATGAAAGCAGAGATAAGATGTATTAGTCACTTGTGAAAATAGCTCTTCAATTGTGTGCCTGTAAGTTGGCAGGGGAAAAAAAGAAACTCAGTTTCAAAACAGAAAAATTATATATTGCTATGTCTGTACAATTGTTATAGCCAATGTCTCTAAACAGAAAATTGTGCAGTAGTGCAAGGGAATTAGCAATAATACCAAGAATGATTAGATTCAGATTTCAAATCCCATATGAAAATAAATTACATTGTTTTTTCTTAAACTAATTATTATTTTTTTTCTTGACATGGAGTCTCACTCTGTCGCCCAGGCTGGAGTGCAGTGGCATGATCTCAGCTCGCTGCAACCCCCACCTTCCAGGTTCAAGTGATTCTTGTGCCTCAGCCTCCCAAGTAGCTAGGATTACAGGTGTGTGTTGGTGACCAGCTAATTTTTTGTATTTTTAGTAGAGACAGGGTTTCCCCATGTTGGCCAAGCTGGTCTTGTCAAGTGATCCGCTGGCCTCGGCTTCCCAAAATGCTGAGATTGTAAGTGTGAGTCCCCGTATTCAGCCAGAAAACCTTCATGGAGGTGCTGGGGATTGAACCCAGGGCCTCATGCATGCTAAGCATGCGCTCTACCACTGAGCTACACCCCCTTTAATTCTTAACATCAGAAATATTATTCAACAGACACTATCAGAGTTAAGGGAAATTTTTGGAAAATTGTGACAAAAAAAGCATAAAGAAAGTTAATTCATTTTCTAGACAGAACTCTGCTAGTATTAGAATGAAATGCTTTAATTAGATAGTAATTTACTTGCTTTCTTGTACCTTATGTCATCTCTCTAGTGTGTTTGTTACAGTCCTGCATATTTAAATAACAAAAACAAACTAATTATGTATTTTGCATGATCAGTATGTTACAACATTAAGATCAGACTAATAATACACATCATCTACTCCACTGCCAATTTTTATACTCCCTGCAATCTTTTTTTTTTTGAGACGGAGTTTCGCTCTTGTTACCCAGGCTGGAGTGCAATGGCGCGATCTCGGCTCACTGCAACCTCCGCCTCCTGGGTTCAGGCAATTCTCCTGCCTCAGCCTCCCGAGTAGCTGGGATTGACAGGCACGGGCCACCATGCCCAGCTAATTTTGTATTTTGTATTTTTTTTATTTTTAGTAGAGACGGGGTTTCACCATGTTGACCAGGATGGTCTCCATCTCTTGACCTCGTGACCCACCCACCTTGGCCTCCCAAAGTG